GGTACAGCAGAAGTTCATTGAGAGGATGAGCAGGGGGCTGGGAAGGTGGCTCAGTGGTAGAGCACTTGCCTTGCATGCTCGAGGCCCTGGGTTCGATTCCTCAGCACCACATAAGAAAAAAGCCGGAAGTGGCATTGTGGCTCAAGTGGTAGAGTGCTAGCCTTGAGCTGAAGAGCTGAGGGACAGCGCCCAGGCCCAGAGTTCAGACCGGACCCCCCCCCCCCCAAAAAAAAAAAAAAAAGAAAGAAAAAAAGAGAAGATGAGCAGGAACAACTTGACAAGTACCTAGGGCACAAAGTTAAAGCATCAATCACAAATATGTGTGGTGGCTGTAGTCTCACCATAATATCAGCCTGGTAAGGCCAAGAACAGGGCTGTTGATAATATCACTAGGTATCCCATGCCACAGGATCAGATCAGATCCTGAGAAGCAAACTGGAATCTGAAGAAAAACCCCTCGTTTTCTAGAATCACTAGTCCACTACTCATAAAGCTTAATGTCATGCTCACTGGCCAAAGTAATATTCCTATCTTAGGCAGAGCAATAAAGGGTGAGTTAGGAGCTGACAGTCAATACATAAGTGATACAAACATTATAATGTAACAAGTTTTACTATTACCTGCCATCAGAATTACTAATAAGGATCTCACACAAAAAGGTTCAAGTGTTAGGCAAGTTTGGGAATGAAATATGCTAATATTTCTCTCTTAGAATATTCATAGTACACATTAGTCCTGAGATCCTACAGAAGAATAGGAATGTTTAAAATAGAATAGAAAAGTTTAAATAGAAATAGAAAACTATTTAAGCTTTATATTTATAAAACTTGAGTTATAAGATCTGATACCATGTTATATGTGTGTGTGTGTATATATATATATATGTATATATATATATATGTACATGTATATATACCATTCTTAAAAACATTCTCCTCAAAATCAATATTAAGATGAGAGCCAGATACTGGTGACTCATGCCTGTTATTCTAGATAACTCAGGAGGCAGAGATCTGAGGACCAAGGTTCAAAGGCAGTCCAGACAGGAAAGTCTCTCTCTCTTTTTTTTTTTTTTTGGTCAGTCATGGGGCTGAACTCTGGACCTGGGCATTGTCCTTCAGCTTTTTAGCTCAAGGTGAGCACTCTACCACTAAGCCACAGTGCCACTTCTGGTTTTCTGGTGGCTTACTGGAGATAAGAGTCTCACGGACTTTTCTGCCTGGGCTGGCTTTGAACTGTGATCCTCAGATCTCAGCCTCCTGAGTAGCTAGGATTACAGGCATGAGCCACCAACTCCTGGCTCAGGTAGGAAAGTCTCTTATTTCTAATTAACTACTAAAAAGCTGGAAGTAGAGTTGTGGCTCAAGTGGTAATGCTGTCCTCAAACAAAAAAGCTGAGGGACAGTGCCCAGTCCCTGAGTTCAAGCCCCAGGACTGGCACCAAAAATATTTTTTTTGAGTGTCCTTTAGCTTCATGAACCAGGAGGGTTCATGAAGTTGCAGTGTTTGTTGAAGCAGCTCCAACTTTCCCAGTGTGGTTTTATTCCTAAGTCTTTATTCTGTTCCATTGATCTTTGGGTCTGTTTTTGTTACTATGATTTTGTAGTATAAAATGTGGTTTTATACCCCTAGTATTACTCTTTTACCCAGGCTTGCTTTCATAAAAGGTGTTTTAAATAAAAACTTTTTAAAAGATAACATAGTGAGTTGTCAATAATATAGAATTGGTGCTTTTCTTTATGCTCCTGGGAGCTCATTCCGGTAGGAATTTTGAAACATAAATAAAATTCCCAGGCTGAGCGCTGGTGGCTCACGCCTGTAATCCTAGCTACTCTGGAGACTGAGATCTGAGGATCACGATTCAAAGCCAATCTGGGCTGGAAAGTCCTGAGACCCTTATCTCCAGTAAAGCACCAGAAAACCAGAAGTGGCACTACAAGTGGTAGAGAACGCCTTAAGCTGAAGAGCTGAGGGAGAGGGCCCAGGCCCAGAGTTCAAGCCCCATGACCCACAAAAAAAAACTTTCAAAAAATAATTTGCTTTACTCTTTAACATAACGTTTCACTTTCTAGAAAGTTATATTTTGAGGAAATAATCATAGCTGTGCATAAAAATTTACAAATAGCTGAAATGATTATTAAGTAGATGATTAGATCAAATATGACCCATGAAATAAGGCAATAAAATGATATAGTGTAGTGTTGATATAGTAGTGTTATTGGGAAGTGTTAATATAGGCTATAAAATAGTATATAGAGTATGAAATACAGTTGCTGATTGATTCAGTTCACCTACATACTAGTACTAAATACTGAATAGTCCCATATGAGTGTCTTTATTTTTTTTCACTTTATTATTTTTATTAGTTTATATAGATTGTACAAAGGGAGATTTCACTGTTACATCTCCATACCTATTCACACTCTGTTCCAATTTTACCCCCTTCATGGTAGTCTTTATGAATTATTTAAGTAAAGCTGAAACCAAAATATAGAATACCTACACTGAGCTTTTTAAAAATTATTAGAGCAAAAGAATTTAAATCTGTAAGGTACATAATGGAAACTGAAAGTAATGTTACATGCCACAGAGATTAAAATATGTTCATTGACACTGCAGACTTTGTCAAAAGCATGTTGAATAGAAAACGACTGAAAGTAGATGGCAAAGTAGTAAATGGGAGATAAGATCATGACTGTACTATCGATGAACACTATTCAGTAATAGTGAAATGTTAACCTCATATTAAATTCAAAATATTACCATCTCGGGGCTGGGAAGGTGGCTCAGTGGTAGAGCGCTTGCCTTGCATGCCTGAGGCCCTGGGTTTGATTCCTCAGCACCACATAAGCAAAAAGAAAAAAGCTGGAAGTGGTGCTGTGGCTCAAGTGGTAGAGTGCTAGCCTTGAGCTGAGGGACAACACCCAGGCAGGCCCAGAGTTCAGGCCCCACGACCAGACCCCAAAAAAAACCCCACAAAATATTACCATCTCATTATATAATAACAAAAATAAATGAAATATTTTACATTATTTATAATATCTCAGTTTATAGTAGGTACTACTCAGTAGCTACATATAAATATTGGCTACTATCTTGCACAAGTGCAGTATAGATTGTCCTGTTGAGAGAATAATGACAGGTGCTGCTGGGGTATAGCACTTGGCTGACATGCCTTAGGCTCTGTTTTTCATCCTCAGCATTGCATAATAAAAAGAGAAAAGAGCTACAGAAAGGACAGCTTTTTTTTTTTTTGTCCGTTGTGTGGCCTGAACTCTGGGCCTGGGCACTGTCCCTCAGCTCTTCAGTTCAAGGCTAGCACCCTACCACTTGAGCCACAGCACCACTTCCGGCCTTTTCTGCTTATGTGGTGCTGAGGAATCGAACCCAGGGCCTCATGCATGCAAGGCAAGCACTCTATCACTGAGCCACCTTCCCAGCCCCAGAGGACAGCTTTTAAAAGGGACATTCTAGTCCTTGAGCAGTCTAGTATAAGCACAGAATCCTTGCCAGTGCAACTTATTGATTATTTAAAAATTAAATGTTGCTGGGTGCCAGTGGCTCATGCCTGTAATCTTAGCTACTCAGGAGGCTGAGATCTGAGGAGTGGGGTTCAAAGCCAGCCTGGGCAGGAAAGTCCCAAGAGACTTTTATCTCCAATTAACCACCAGAAAACCAGAAGTGATGCTGAGGCTCAAGTGGTACAGCACTCACCCTGAGCTGAAGACAGATCAAGGGACAGTGCCCAGGCCCTGAGTTCAAGCCCCATGACTGACCAAAACAACAACAACAAAAAGCTGGGTGCCAGTGGCTAACTCCTATAATTCTAGCTACTCAAGAGGCTAAGGAGATCTGAGGATCAAGATTCAAAGCCATGGGCTGGGAAGGTGGCTCAGTGGTAGAGTGCTTGCCTTACATGCATGAGGCCCTGGGTTCGATTCCTCAACACCACATAAACAGAAAAAGCGGGAAGTGGTGCTGTGGCTCAAGCGGTAGAGGGCTCGCCTTGAGCTGAAGAGCTAAGGGACAGTGCCCAAGCCCAGAGTTAAGGTCCATGACTGGCAAAAAAAAAAAAAAAAAAAAGATTCAAAGCCAGCCTTGGGAGGAAAGTCTGAGAGACTCTTTTTTTCTTTCTCTCTCTCTCTTTCTTTCTTTCTTCCTTCCTTCCTTTCTTTTCTTTATTTTTCCCTTCCTTCCTTCTTTCTTTCTTTCTTTCTTTCTTTCTTTCTTTCTTTCTTTCTTTCTTTCTTTCTTTCTTTCTTTCTTTCTTTCTTTCTTTCTTTCTTTCTTTCTTTCTTCCTTTCTTTCTTTCTGTCGTAGGGCCTGGCTGCTGTCCATCAGCTCAAGGCTAGCACTCTACCACTTGAGCCACAGCGCCACTTCCAGCTTTTTTTTTCTCCTTATGTGGTGCTGAGGAATCGAACCCAGGGCCTCAGGCATGCAAGGCAAGCGCTCTACCACTGAGCCATCTTCCCAGCCCTTTTTCTTTTTTTTTTGGGTCCAGTTGTGGGGCCTGAACTCTGGACCTGGGTGCTGTCCCTCAGCTCTTCAGCTCAAGGCTAGCGCTCTACCACTTGAGTCACAGTGCCACTTCTGGCTTTTTTCTTTTTGCTTATGTGATGCTGAGGAATCGAACCTAGGGCCTCATGCATGCAAGGTAAGCGCTCTATCACTGAGCCACCTTCCCAGCCCCCTTGAGAGACTCTTATTATCTTCAGTTAACCACCAAAAATAAAAAATGGAGCTGTGACTCAAGTGGTAGAACAGTAATCTTAAGCACAAAAGCTCAGGGACGGTGCCCAGATCCTGAGTTTAAGTCCCAGAGCTAACACAAAAATAAATAAATAAATGAGAAAAGTGTTATGTAACTTGAATATACACATAACGTGTAAATAAGAATAAGAATATCCATCCTGCTTCAGAAAATAGAGTATTCTGTATTCTGTGACTCTACCAGTTACATTTTTATGTTAATACTGTTTCTTCTTTTCTTTCTATAGGCTTTGGTAAAAGTAATCTTAACCGTAGAGGAAGAATAATACCTGCAAAGAGACGTCCTTATGGAGTTGTCACTGGCCTTGCAGCTAGGAAAACACCTGGAATTCGAAAAGGAATTAGTCCTATGAATCGTCCTCCTCTCAGTGACAAGGTAGGATGTGCAGCCCCCAGAGTACCTCAGGTGTTTTATGTTTGACTGTCATCTTTCTTTTCAGCCATTTAAGAGATTTTTTCAGGTCATTTTAATTTCTTCATCTCTTTGATCTCCACATTCAAGAAGTTGTTAGTATGTACCATTCTACATTAGAAATGTTTACTGTGTTAGGGTTTAAAGGGAAAAAAAGGAAATTGATTAACATAGTTTCTTAATTTCTGAAAGAATATAGAGCGATATTTTCCAGTGTTAAAAAGGAAGACAAACCTTCTGAGACAAAATGAAGCACAAAGGAAACCAGTTGCAGTTCTCAAGAGGCCTAACCAGTTAAACAGAAAGTAAGTACTCAAATTCGTGGCAGTAATGGACATAAACAAATAACATTTTTCTACTTAGGGTTTAGAAAAATTGATTTACAATGATTCTTCTTATCTGATCATTTTCAAAACAAGTATTTGGTTGGAGTTCAGGATTTGCCTCATGCATGAAGCCCTGAGTTAAATTCCCAGCACCACAAAAAGGATGAAGACATATACTGAGATGTTTGTTTAAAACAACATGGAAGCATTCAGCAGCAGCTTCTTTATTTCTTAGACACAGTATTACTGATGAGTACAACTTATGTAAACTTTTTTTTTTTTGTCGGTCGTGGGGCTTGAACTCTGGGCCTGGGTGCTGTCCCTCAGCTCTTCAGCTCAAGGCGAGCGCTCTACCACTTGAGCTACAGTGCCACTTCCGGTTTTCTGGTGGTTTATTGGAGATAGGAGTCTCACGGTCTCTCCTGCCCGGGCTGGTTTTGAACCGCGATCCTCAGATCTCAGCCTCCTGAGTAGCTAGGATTACAGGCATGAGCCACCAGCGCCCGGCTATGTAAACTTTTTTAAGTATCATTTCTCTATGTTTACAGAACAAAATTATAAAACTTATCTATTAGATAAAAATCATACTATGCCAATCAGAATTGAGAATTCTGAAAACTGAATTGATTATTCAATCTCAGTGTTTCTTACTGTTTCTACAAATAGCAATGTAGGTTATTTGGGGGAAAGCAGAACCAGAAAGAAAGATTCTGCATAAGTGTTTATCAGGTTCAAATTATTTTTACACTAAATTGAAAAGCATAACATAAACCAAGAAATGATAGTGTGTTGTTATAATTTTGGTATTCTGTCCTTCGTAAGGATAAAGTAGTCAGAAAGGAAGTTGACAAGCTGTGGAATTACTATTTTTTTTTTTTTTTTGGTGGGTCATGGGGCTTGAACTCTGGGTCTGAGTGCTGTCCCTCAGCTCTTCAGCTCCAGGCTAGTGCTCTGCCACTTGAGTTACTGTGCCACTTCTGGTTTTCTGGTGATTTATTGGAGATAAGAGTTTCCTGGCCTCTCCTGCCCAGGCTGGCTTTGAACCGTGATCCAAAGATCTCAGTCTCCTAAGTAGCTAGGACTACAGGTGTGAACCACTGGTGCCCAGCTTGTTATTTCAATTTTAAGTATCATTCTTTTTTTTTTTTTTTTGCTGACTCTGGGGCTTGACCTCCGGGCCTGGGTTCTGCCCTTGAGCTTCTCTGTGCTCAAGGCTAGAGCTCTACCACTTGAGCAACAGTACCACTTCTGGCCTTTTCTGTTTATGTGGTACTAGAATTGAACACAGGGCTTCATTCATGCTAGGCAAACACTCTACCACTAAGCCCCATTCCCAGCACATGGAATTAATCTTTCAGAAATGAATAGGGGATGGAATGTGGCATGAAGCCCTGAGTTCAGTTCCTCAGTACCACATAAGCAGAAAAGTTCTGTGGCTCAAGTGATAGTGTGCTAGCCTTTAGCAAAAGAAGCTCAGGGACAGTGCCCAGGCCCTGACTTGCCAAAAAAAAAGAAAGAAAATAATACCTTTTTTGTGTGTTTGCTGGGCTTGAACTCAGGACTGGGTGCTGTCCTTTAAGCTATTTTGTTCAAGGTTGGCGTTCTGCCACTTGAACTATAGCTCTACATCTTAGAAGATAATTCATAAAACCATGAACTTTAGTCTTTTTATGAACAAATTTCACTTAACCATCATCTTTGGAAATCATTTGGTATAGTATCTTCTGTGAAACAGGCCTACCCTAAATAAAAATCTTCTATTTATGAGACATATTTTTGGTTTTGTTTTGTTTTTACCAATAATTGGCCTTGAACTCAGTGCCTTTTGCTTAGCCTTGTCCATGGCTGGCACTCTACTACTTGAGCCACTTAAGTCTGGCTTTTTGCGAATTAATTGGAGATGGAATGTCCATGGGCTTTCCATCTGGGCCGTCTTTGAACTTCAGTCCTCCAGATTTTAGCCACCTGAGAGCTAGGATATAAATCGCTGGTGCCCAGTGAGAGTTACAAGTTATTTGAGCTATTTGAGGAAATTTTGCATTTGGACCTCTATAAGGTTGGTGGTAAGATAGGTAACCTTTTATACATTTGTTCGTTGAACAGATGAAAGTGATTTATTTTTATTTTTGGTGCTGGTCCTGGGCCTTGAACTCAAGGCCTTGGCACTAACCTTGAGTTTTTTTACTCAAGGCTAGTGTTGTACTGCTTGAGCCACAGCTCCATAGCTCTTTGCTGATTAATTAGAGATAAGAGTCTCATGGACTTTGCTGGTCCAGCTGGCTTTGAACTTTGATCCTCAGATCTCATGCTCCTTAGTAGGTAAGATATGGGCTCAAGCCACTGGTACCATGCAGAAAATTTGTTTTTTTCATACTCTATCAACTTCCTGTAAAGAATAGAAAGTGGTGAAGGTCAAGTATAATTTATCGAGTATGCATTATTCTGTGTATGAAATACTAAAGTGAAAGAGTATAAGTTCCCTGTTAAACATGTGTGTGTTTCGGTGCATTATGTATGTGTGTGTATACACATATACATATTTGTATGGCATATATATATTCCGTGTGTGTGACACAGATGCATGTGTGTGTGACACAGATGCATATGTGTGTGAATATATATAAATGTGTGTGTGTATATATATATACATATATATATACACACACACACACAAACACACACACAGAGCACGAGTGCAAGAGAGACAGACAGACAGATGCCAGTGCAGAATTTTCTTTTCCTTGTGGTGCTGGGGATCAAATAAATCCAAGGCCCTTGTGGTTTGCTAGCCAGGTGCTCAACCACTGAGCTAAATCCCCAGTCCTATGGCTTATGTTAATATATAAAGGTTTGTGAGTGTGGAAAAGAGAAGAAAGCTGAAAGAGTAGAGGTTGTTTTTCAAGTTTTTTTTGTTATTGTTTTTACTTTGACTATGAATGATCCTAGGTGTGATGTTTTTCTCTATACTAATCCTATAAATCTGTAAATTCATGTTTTCACCTAATTTGGGAATAGGAAATAGCATTTTAAATATGATTTTGTAAATGTCTTCTGAAGATACCATATGTAGGAAGAAAGGCCTTATTAGAGGCCTTATTATTATTTAAGCAATAAATCAGTTAAACGTTAACCAGGTGTTTATGTGACGTATTACAGAGGGAGATGTTGGAAATCAAATTCAGTAGCTTCATATAAATAAGGAAACAATGTGGAGTTCATGCTTTCCAGTGTATGCTCATCAAGTATTCATTGCATGAATTGAAATACTTTTGTCTTTTTTCAAAATGTTTAAAAACAAAGAAATTGAGATTACTCATGACATATGTTTGTGTTGCAGAACTAACCTTCCAGCTAATTTTTCCAGGAGTGGAAATAAATTAAGCCATCAGAAAGATACTCGCCAGGCAACTTTTCTTTTCCGAAGAGGCCTGAAGGTATTCAAAAGCCTTGGTGGGATTTTCTTTTTACTTGAAGTTGATCCTGAAACAGACATCTTTAGTGATACTCAGTTATAGGTATAGCCCATGGTTGACATTAGATTGGGGATATAGAAAACATGACATTAGTTCTTCCTGTATATTTTTCCCCCTATTTCTCTTGTCCTCAATAGCAACTTATAAGAACTTAACAACTTATGTTTACCATTTGTTTTTATAAAGGAAGTTAAACAGTGGTGTTACCATAGCAGCACAGAGCCTCTCTTGCATGCATGCACTTACCACAGTTGGGTTTTTTAGTTATAGCATGATGGCTGTTTGGATTCAAATCCTCTGCTTTCTATAGGATCTACTGCTTTTTCCCTCCTTTAGGTTCAGGCCCAGGTGAACACAGAACAGCTGCTAGAAGATGTAGTAGCAAAGAGAACGCGTCAGTAAGTTTCAATTTGTTTTTCAAGATGTCATTTCAAAACTCAGACTATAGCTACCCCCAAATTACCATGTGCCTTAGCGTGAGTGAAATTGATGATGCCCAAAATGATATTAAGCCTGAAATCTAATTTTGTTCCTTTTTTCTCCAAATACTTTTTTTTTTTAAGGGCTAGGAACTAAACCCAGGATATTATACATGCTAGGCAAGCACTCTACCGTTGAGCTTAATCCCCAGCGTCACAAAAACCTTTTGAGTTTTCTTATGTAAGCATTGTAACTGTTTTAGCACAAAGTAAGTTAATATATTCTTGATAACCTATTTCTTTCATCTTAATGAATTTTTTCTGTTTTTGTATAAACCTATTTGGAATGAATAGAAGAAAATTTAGTAAAGTTTTTAGAAGGCTTGTAAAATTTTAAACAATAGAATATTTTCACGTATGACAGTGTAAAACCTACTCATACATGTTTTTGTCTGTTATAATTATATTTCCTGAAGGTGAGATGTGTAACATTTCCATCAATGTGATCAGGCTTTGAGATGTAACTATTAAAAATTATCACTACTTTTGCAAAGTAAAACATTGTCTTGGTTTTAGATGTGATGCTGAGTATAATAAGTATGATTTTATGTAGTCAATGTAGGAAAATAAACTATGTGAACTTCATATTGGCACCATTCTTTAGCATAGGAGCCATGACATGAGAAACCATAAGGAAGATAATAAATAATGGGACTGAGAGTGGTGGAGTATACCTGTAAGCCCACCCTCTTAGAGGCAGAAATTGCAGTTAGAGGTCAGACTGGGCAAAAACAGACCTACCTCAGTCAACAGCTGGCTACCACATTGTAGCACGTACTGTGATTGTAGCTACATAGAAAGCCATTGATAGGAGAATCATGGTCCAAAGCTATTCTCAAGTAAAAAAAAAAAACCCAAGACTATATATGAAAAATAACTGGACAAGGGCTGGGAAGGTGGCTCAGTGGTAGAGCGCTTGCCTTGCATGCCTGAGGCCCTGGGTTCGATTCCTCAGCACCACATAAGCAAAAAGAAAAAAGCCGGAAATGGCGCTGTGGCTCAAGTGGTAGAGCGCTAGCCTTGAGCTGAAGAGCTGAGGGACAGCGCCCAGGCCCAGAGTTCAGGCCCCAGGACCGGATCCCCCCCCCCCCCCCAAAAAAAAAAAAACTGGACAATAATAATGAGATCCTCTTTGCTTCTGCAATGAACAGTATTTACATAATAGTGATATTATATGCTATTTATTTGTTTTGGACTTTTGGGACTCAACCTGTAGACAAAGTGAAAAATAGTCATTTTAAGACTAGAATATAATAAATAAATGACAATTTTTGGCTAATAAAGCAATTGGCAGGTAGTAGTCAAGTGTAATTGGAAGCCAGAACAGAATTACAAGTTCAGTTGAGGCCCAGGCTACATAGCAAGATTGTCTCAAAATAATAATAACTACATAATAATTAATCATCTAAAAGGGAGGGCTCATGCATAGTGGAAGATACAAAGTGGGAGAAAAGGTGGAAAGAAAGAGTGAAGAGTAGTTCAAGAGATACTGCTAGAAGAAATATGAGATTTAAATAACTACAGAGGAACTAAAATAATGACAGGCATCACAATATTTTTTGGGACATACAGAAACTAGAGAATAATGTGATAAATTTATTCATTATAGCAATATAGTAAATGTTTGCACAGATAGACACTCCATTTTGAACTCAGAGTTTAAAATCTTGCTTAGCTTTTTCTGTCAAGGCTGGTACTCTACCACTGGAGCCATACTACTTCTGGCATTTTGGTCATTAATCTATTCTGAGATCTCAAGCCTCCTAAATAGCTAGGATTATAGGTGTAAACCAATGGTGCCCAGTTTATAAAACATCATATTTACTGAACTAGAAAAACAGGAAAAGGCCAGATGCTGGTGGCTCACACCTGTAATCCTAGCTACTCACAAGGCTGAGATCTGAGGATTGCGGTTCAAAGCCAGCTCAGGCAGGAAAGTCCGTGAGACTCTTATCTCCAGTAAACCACTCAGAAAACTGGAAGTGGCATTATGGCTCAAGTGGTAGAGCTCTAGCCTTGAGCTGAAGAGCTGAGGGACAGCGCCCAGGCCCAGAGTTCAAGCTCCACCACTGACCAAAAAACAAAAAAAACCAACAAAAGACAGGAAAAGTTAGAAGAGCCACTCTACAGAACAAAAATGGGAAGAAAGAGACTATGAGGTGAAAGATTGTTAGGTTTTATTAGAAGCTGCTTCTGTATTTGATTTTTTAAAAAAGAAGTATACAGTTTTGTTTTTGTTTTTGTTTTTCATTTCATGATTCTGGTAGTGGGCTTGACCTCAGGGCCTTGTGTTCTTGCTAAGCTTTTTCACTCACAGCTGTTGCTCTGTCACTTGAGCTGTTTCCCCCAATACTGGTTTTTGCTAAAATCTGGCAGATTTGTCTGCCTAGGCTAGCTCTGAACTGCAATTCTCAAATCTCAGCCTACATAATAGCTATTATTATATGTGTGAGCCACCAGCACCCAACTGAAGTTTGTATATTTATTTATTGTGTTAAAAATTTAATAAATTAAGATGCAGATTAAGATATCATGTTGGGGTCCTCAGTATTGTGTGTTTCTTAAAACCTCAAAAGTAATGACTTGCTAAAATATCTATTTTCACTGTGTATGGTGTGTGTGTGTGTGTGTGTGTGTGTGTGTGTCTGTCTGTCTGTCTGTGTCTGTGTGTCTGTCTGTCTGTCTGTTCTGGGGCTTGAACTATAGCTCTACTTTCAGCTTTTTTTTTTGGGGGGGTGGGGGTAGGTAATTGGAGATAAGAATCACATGGTCTTTGAACTGACTTTGAACTGCAATGCTTATATCTAGCCTTCTGAGTAGCTAGGATTATGGGCATGAGCCATTGACACCTGGCTACATATTTTGAAACTGGGATTGTAGCTCAGTAGTAGAATACCTTCTCAACACATAGGTCATAGGTTCCTTAGCACCAAAATAGATGAGTAGTTAGGTAAGTAAGTGAGTAGGTAGATGAGTGGTAGGTAGATGGGTAGCAAATAGATGGATGAATGGAATATCTTTGTATGAGATAGAGGATTTATGAACATCACTTTAGTGAAACTTGTTTTCTTTTTGAAACTAGATGGCGTACTTCCACCACAAATGGAGGAATTCTTACAGTATCCATTGACAATCCTGGAGCAGTTCAGAACCCAGTGTAAGTCTTTTCTTTCTTTTTGCACAACAGTACTGGACCTGTGTTCACAGTATGATGTTCAAGTTAGGAGGGAGTTAGATTCAAAAGTATTACCTATCACTTGTGCTACAAATTGGAAGTAGTATAAGTAAAGGTAAAAGTGAAAACTACCATGGATCGCTGGTTCGATACTCCCATAACCCTTTTTAATGACTTTTTTTACTGATGGATAGATGGATCAAGAGATAAATAGATAGATGGATTTTGCTTTTTTTTTTGGTCAGTTGTGGGGCCTGAACTCTGGGCCTGGGTGCTGTCCCTCAGCTCTTCAACGCAAGGCTAACGCTCTGCCACTTGAGCCACACCACCACTTCCAGCTTTTTTGCTTATGTGGTACTGAGGAATTGAACCCAGGGCCTCATGTATGCAAGGCAAGCACTCTACCACTGAGCCATCTTCCAAGCCCTGGGTTTTGCTTTTTTGAAACAGAGTCTCACTATATAGCCCAAGCTAGCTTTGAACTTGATCCTCCTGCCTCAGCTTCCTGAATGCTAGAAATACAAGCAAGTGTCAGCCACCATGCCAGGTACTTCTATTTTTATTTTTTAAATTTTATTCAAGTGTAACAATTATACATTTAAAATTAATCATACATTTTAAAATGTACATATGGAGCTTGGGAGTGGTAGCTAATACATCTATAATCCTAGCTACTGAGGTAGCTAATATCTGAAGATTGCAGTTTGAAGCTAGCTAGGATAGGAAGTCTGTTGACACTTTTCTCCAATGAACTTCCAAAAAAAAAAGTGAGAAGTGTAGGTATGGCTCAAGTGGTAGAGCACTAGCCTTGAAAAAATGCTATGGAACAGTGCTCAGGCCCTGGAGTTCAAGCCCCGGGACTAGCACAATAAACAAATAAATAAATAAATGTATATATGGATGTAAAAGGGATGATACTGCACATACTTGTTTTTTCCTTTCTTCTCCTCTTCCTAGTACCTTTTTTTTTTTTTTGGTCGGTCGTGGGGCTTGAACTCTGGGCCTGGGCGCTGTCCCTTAGCTCTTCAGCTCAAGGCGAGCGCTCTACCACTTGAGCTACAGCGCCACTTCCGGTTTTCTGGTGGTTTATTGGAGATAGGAGTCTCACGGTCTTTCCTGCCCGGGCTGGCTTTGAACCGCGATCCTCAGATCTCAGCCTCCTGAGTAGCTAGGACCTAGTACCTTTTTAAAGACCTTACAGTATATTCTTTTATCTAGATGATGTTAATTTACATAAACATTTTGTTATATTTATTGTACTATAATAAACTTTCTAGGTTTAGGGAATTTCTGATCTATTTAACCATCTTTATCACTGAACTGAAAAGAATGTAGATTGGATCTTTTAAGACTACAGCTTACTTGATTTGAAGGACCTTAGTCTTAGAAATCAACAATTGTGCTAGCTGCCAGTGGCTTACGCCTGTAATTCTAGCTACTTAGGAGGCTGAGATCTGAGGATTTCAGTTCAAAGCCAGCCCAGGCAGGAAAGTCCGTGAAACTCTTATCTCAAATAAACCACTAGAAAACCAGAAGTGGTGCTGTGGCTCAAGTGGTAGAGCACTTGAGCCAAGGAACAGGGCTCAGGCCCAGAGTTCAAGCTCCATTGACCAACCAAAAAAGAAAAAAAGAAAAAGAAAAGAAATCAACAGTTATTTAAAATTGCTCAAAGTTTTTTTTTGTGTGTGTGTGTATGTGTGTGTGCGTGCGTGCGTACGTGCGTGTGTACGCATTGGTCCTGGGGCCTGAACTTGAGGCCTGGGAGCTATACCTGAGCTTTTTTCTTTCTTTTTCTTTTTTTTTTGCTGGTCATGGGGCCTGAACCCTGGGCCTGGGTGTTGTCCCTCAGCTCTTCAGCTCAAGGCTAACGCTCTACCACTGGAACCACAGCACCACTTCCGGCTTTTTCTGCTTATGTGGTGCCGAGGAATCGAACCCAGGGCCTCATGCATGCGAGGCACCACTGAGCCACCTTCCCAATCCAATGAAATGATATTTTTATTTTCTCAGTATCTTACAACAGATTTTTTTTGTTTGTCAGTCATGGGGCCTGAACTCTGGGCCTGGGTGCTGTCCCTCAGCTCATCTACTTGAGCCACAGCACCACTTCCACTTCCAGCTTTTTCTACTTATGTGGTATTGAGGAATTGAACCCAGGGCCTCATGCATGCAAGGCAAGCACTCTACCACTGAGCCACCTTCCCAGCTCCTCTGAGCTTTTTTTCTAAAGACTAGTGCTATACTGAGCAACAGATCCATTTCTGGATTTTTGGTTATTAATTGCAGATGAGTCTCATGGACTTTTCTTCTAGGGCAAACTTTGAACCATGATCCTCAGATCTCATCTTATTGAGTAACTAGGATTACAGATGTGAGCCACTGGTGCTTGGCTGAAAGTTTTGTAGTTACACTTGAGATATTCTATGAACAATTATAATTTTTAGTCAAGAGCCAACTGTCTTTTTAAAACTTATATTCTATAGAAGAACATTTCATTGCAGGTTCAGCTACCTAAAAATATAGACCTAAGACATTTGAATATGAGTTCAAACCATTAATCTTTTTTTTTTAATTGTCAAGCTAACTAGCTTTTTCTTTCTGATAGAGCTCAGAAACCAAGATTAACTCGTACTCCTGTACCCTCCTTTATGACAAAACGAGAGCAATCTGATGTAAAGAAAGTTCCTAAAGGCGTTCCCCTACAATTTGACATAAATAGTGTTGGAAAACAGGTAAAAAAAAAAAGTTTTCTGTATTTAAGACATTCATTGACAGTATTTGTACAGTAAATAAAACACTTTAACCTTCCCAACAAACTTTGGCAACCACTAACCTGATTTCTGTCTCTTGTAGTTCCCCTGTTTTGATGTTTTGTATAAGTTGGGTTATAAGATATTTGATCTTTGTCCCTGACTTCTTTTACTTACCATAAAGCTTTCAAGGTTCATTTATGTTTTAGTATTTCATTCTTTTTATGGTATAATTCCATAATATGTACTATATCTTATTTAATGTTGGTTCTACTCTTTTGGCTATTATGAATAATACTTCTTTGACCAACAGTGTATACAAGTTTTTGTGTGGACCTATGTTTTCATTTCTCCTTGTTAAATACCTAGGTGGTAGATTATATGGTAACTCCATACCCTTTGGTGGTATTGAGGTTTGAACTTAGGTCCTTGTACTTGCTAGGCAAGTGCTCTACCACCCATGTCACACTTTCACCACCTAACTAGGCAAACATATCTTAACTTCATCTATTTCATGTAGTCTTTGTAAGGGTCACATGAGCTCATACACATACATATTTGTAGCTTAATCATAAGATCATATTGTTCCAATGCAAGTAAGGTTTTGAGTCAAGTTCTTTTTTTTCCCTTTCTGTAGACAGGGATGACTTTGAATGAAAGATTTGGGATACTGAAGGAGCAAAGAGCCACTCTCACATTCAACAAAGGAGGAAGTCGCTTTGTAACTGTGGGATAAGCTCCCTTGTCAAAGGAACTTTTCAGTGATGACTGTTTGAGAAGTTGAATTGCTTGAAGAATTCGTCACAGAAATTCAAGAAACTTTACTTCAAAATATTTAGAAGGCTAAATAACTTTTATTTTTGAAGGTTTTTTTTTAATGTATAAAATAATCCCATGAAAGAATAACAGGGAATATACATATATGTTCTTAAAGATTTCTTGGTTGGCCCAGACAGAACAATTCTCTCTTGGCTTCTTTGGTGCCTCAAGCAGCAGAAGGAAGACAGAAAGATAGAAATTGCTTATTTTTATGAGAGTGGCATTTAGGATCTCATCACCTTTGCCCATCTTTTGGCTCTTGGCCATGGTAAATCTTAGTTTTGGATATATATGTAGCCCCGTTTGTTGCTGTCATTTACCTTTGAATAGTGTTGATATAAGTGCTGTTGCCTTTCTTCATTAGTTATATTTAAAAAAAAAAAAGCTTTTTGAGAATTTCAGTTTTGGCTTTCAGGATTTATGGAAATATCTGGAACTTAGTTCATTTTTCAGATAGAATTAAGTTAAACTCCCAAGTTGTAATTTTTTAATGTTGAACTTTTAACAGGAATGTGGTTCTCTTATATTAATATGTCTCAGCTTAAAATGTTGATGTTTCTTTACTATAAATGGATATTTACAAAGTTACCCAATACTTTAGAGGATAAGGTTGATTGTAAAACGCTAAAAGTTGTTGTTTGATAAATGAAGAAAGCATTAAAGGAAATAGCAATTTGAAAGACCAGAAACTTAGATGAAATACTTCAAAACACCAGTTATAGGTATATTCTTTGGGTTTAGTGTCCACAAATTATTCTTCAAATGATATTTATAAGAAAAAAATTTAAGATGGACTGAGTCACTTAGATATTTTGATAGTAAACTTAATAGCCATAAGTCCTAAACTGTTCTTATTCAAAGTTAAAATTTGTAATCTGTTAAGCTTGCTAAATTAACAATTTCTAGCTCCAAAAAATATACTATTTCAAAGAAAAATTGCCAAATTGGAATTACATTGTACCATTGTTGTATACCTTGTATTTTGATTTTTTTTTGTATGATACAAAGTTCAGACATTTATAGGGAGAAAGTTTTTTTCTGACTCTGGACTGGTAAGCAGACTTGGTCTGATGTGCCAAGATAATGCTAAGACTCCTCAGACCATTGTACATAGATTATAGTAAAATGCCAAAATGCAGCAAAATATTCCTGGTTCAAATGAACAAGTTTGGTCATTTTGAAGTTTGACCTTTAGTTTGCTATAATTTGTATAAGCCTCTAGATGTTAGGTTTCTGGTGTTTAAATGTTGACTTTTTCTATAAAGCAAAATTTACCACTCCTGCTTTTCTTGTATTGTATATTAGACTTCATTGCCTCTCATGCTCCTTGGTTTACTCGGTTTATTCTAACCATAGAATGCGATCAGCAACAGATTCATGCTTATACCAAAGAATTAAATCTGATCCTTAATGCCAGTACTTCTGTTTAATAAGGAATTATTGGGAGCCAGTCACAGAATTTGAAAATAAACTCTAGTCTCTCCTTCACTATATATGAGGCTTTTCATAGAAGCCAAGAACTCATTGTAAACTATTTTTGAAAGTCTGAATTCTTCTATTAGATCTATAATTCTTCTATTTGATCTATTATAGACTGGTTTAGAATTGCTGGTAGCTTGTTTTAAAGAAAAAACAATTGAGCGTGAGTTTACTGTCTTTAAAACTGTTTGTGAAAATATGGTATAAAGGTATTCTCATTTTCCTGTTATTTAAAATATTATACAGATTATTCATGCCATTTTTTGGTAAACTTTAAAAATTGCCCCATACATTAACATTAAGTACATCAAATAACAGTGTCCTTGGTATATTAGATGTCTGCTCTTCACGCATTTGTAATTTACATTTAAATAATTTTTCCCTTTGGTACAACTAAATTAAAACCTCGTGTATTAGCATTGTATATAAACAAAACAATATGCTTTGCTAGAGGAATTTTTCCTTTCTTTGAAATGTGTAGTCATTTTTGTTCAGTTCCTAGGTTTTTTAAAAAACAAGATGCCACTTGAAATTTCTTTTGCATCAAGATGTATGCAAAACATTGATGCAGTGCATCACAAAACGAAAGTTTGTATTTAATGAGGAGGTGCTTTACACTGTACTTTTTGGTGTTTTTTGGAAAAGTTCCATTTAGATCTATTATGAAGCTGTTCATTTTTAACAAATAAAATGTAACAGGTTTCACATGATTTATTCTTAGCTATAGACATTGAGTTGTGGTTTTTATATTTTTCTATGTTACACAGAATTTTGTGATTTTTTTTTTTTTAAGATACTAGCTAACTTAGTAAATCAATCTATAGTCTTTGGTTGTCATCCCTTAACTACCTTTTGATCACTTTATTATTCATAGCTCCAACAGGAGTTAGCCAGTAGGCATTAAAAAAGAGACTCAGATTATTTAAAAGGTCAGACATTCAGTATAATCTCACTTACATCTTAGTAAAGTGAACCTTAATCGTTTCCAAGTCTTTTTTTTTTCTTTTCTGCTTATGTGGTGCTGAGGAATGGAACCCAGGGCCTCATGCATGCAAGGCAAGCACTTTACCACTGAGCTACCTTCCCAGCCCCTTTTCCAAGTCTTGAATGTGGCAATTGGTAATAAAGTGGTTTTGTGAATTGCACACTCACAGAAAGTAATATCTAAGAACTGGAAATAGCTAGGTATCAACATTTGTAACATGGTAAGTAAATCTATACCAATGATGACTTGATAGTTTATTAAGTGGTGTCAAATTAGGAACACTTATTAGAAAAGTCTAGTATTGTAATCAGACTTGTGTTTTTTAAACAATCATAAACTTTTCACCATAATTTTAATTATAGACAAATCATAAATATATAAGAAAGTTATTAGTTGGGCTGGGAAGGTGGCTCAGTGGTAGAGTGCTTGCCTTGCATGCATGAGGCCCTGGGTTTGATTCCTCAGCACCACATAAGTAAAAAGAAAAAAGGCGGAAGTGGCGCTGTGGCTCAAGTGGTAGAGCACTAGCCTTGAGCTGAAGAGCTGAGGGACACGCCCAGGCCCAGAGTTCAGGCCTCATGACTGGACCCCCCCCCAAAAAAAAAAAAATTAAGCTGGAATTACAAAGCTATTGGCAGCAAGGTAAGATATATACATCTATTCTAACAAATAATCAAACAAGCAACAAATCCTATGAAGTTCTCTTCCCCTCACCATACTAGGGATTGAACCCAGGATCTTATACTACTAGCTAGGCAAGTTCTCTATCACTTGAGCTGTATTTCTAGCTTTTTTTTGTTTGTATTTGGGTTCTTCATTTAGTTTTTTGAGACATGACCTTATTTGAGACATGCCCTACCACAGAGCTGTGTGTGTGTGTGTGTGTGTGTGTGTGTATTACTGAGGCTTGAATTGTGTGTGTGTGTGTGTATTACTGAGGCTTGAATTAAGGGCCTGGGTGCTGTCTCAGCCCTACCACTTGAGCCAGCGCTCCACACTTTTTGTAGTTAATTGGAGGTGAGTATCTCACAGACTTCCTGCCCAGGCTGGCTATAAACCACAAACCTCAGCTCTCAGTGTACTGGGAAGCTATGAATACAGCTATGAGCCACTGGTGCCTGGCTACTTGCAGTCTCTTTTCAAAGGTCTCTCATCACTTCTTAGTCACACTGGCAACCTCCCCATAGGCTCCATTTCTGATATCTCATTCTTATAAAATGATGTCACCTACTTTATGAAGATTATGGAGCCAGTCTAGGCCGATACCTATCTCTGCATTTAGGTTGGAGCCAGTAATGTAGTGTTTTCTGGGACAGCCTTGGCTAAAGAGTGAAATTCTGTGTTAAAGACCAAACAAAACATTCATAGAACTCTGGGCACCAGTTACTAATTAACATTGGTACTGAAACATTGTTACAATCTTGCATTTAGGAAATCATGAAAAGGAAGAGCTGGGACTTGTATAATATCTAGACTGTCTTCAACCTTGTATTTTCTTTTGCTTTCTGACATGAGCTTTCCTATGTGTGCACTAATGACATTCATATGTGTCTATGACCTACATGTGTGAACCCAATGGGTTCATGCTGATCTTCCAATTTGAAAAGTTGCTTTTGACTTCCAGACTTTCCCATTTTATAATTCTTAAGGTTTGATTCAAAATTTCATCTTATAGGGCTATGGACATGGCTCAAATGGGGCCCCAAGTTCAATACCATAGTACTACCAACAAAACAAAGCAGCCCTACTTCCATTCCTCATTTATCTGTGATACAGATTCCTTTGCCCTCAAGTTTGATAATCTTCCCTTTATACCTACTGAGCCGTTCTTTTGGGAGTAGTGGTAGTTTTTATTCTCCAATTTTATTCTCCTATTTAGGTTCCACAATAAGATTAGATTATAATTTTTTAGAAAAGACTCTGAGAGCTCTTCTGTATTTCCCATGGAAGCATGAGTTGATTGTAGGTGAAATTTGTTATATAAAAAAATTAAAATTGAAAAGTATGCTAGAGTTATGTATAATTATTAGTGAGGTCTAGTTTTTAAAGGGGGTTGATTTCTGCCTTTTCATTACTTGAATTGTTTTTTATTTTTTGTGGCACTAGTATTTGAACCCAGGACCTTGTACTAGCTCAGTAGCCACTTGAGCCACATCCTCAGCACTTGACTTAATTCTGGTTGATTCTGTCTTTAATCCCCACATTTAGATTAAAATGAAAGTATTTTCTTCCATTCTGGCTCAGTTCCAGACCTATACTATACTTTCAACTTCAGTACTATTTGTACAGCTTTACTCAATAAAATCTTATTTTTTTTTGTTGGTTGTGGGATTTGAACTTTGGGCCTACGCGCTGCCCCTCAGCTCTTTGGCTCAAGGCCAGTGCTCTACCACTTGAGCCACAGTGCCACTTCCAGATTTTTGAGTGGTTTATTGGAAATAAGAGTCTCACGGACTTTTCTGTCCAGTCTGGCTTTGAACCGAGATCCTCAGATCTCAGCCTCCTGAGTAGCCAAGATTACAGGCGTGAGCCACCAGTGCCCGGCTTTAAATTCTTTATAAAAGGAAGGAATGGTATTAAATATTTACTCTTTTCAATTGAATTAACCAATATTCTAACTGGAGCCCAACCAGTAGAATGTTTCCCCCCATCCCAAGCACAAATAGTAAACACATTTGCCAACTGGGCATTGAACCCAATGCCTTCTGTGTGGTAGGCAAGCATTTTGCTGAGCTGTGCCTCCAGCCCTTCATTTTCTGAAACTCTTCTTGCTATGTAGCTCAGGCTGGCCTAAGCACGCCTATCCTCCTACCTCTGGACCCCTGAGATTACAGGTATACACCACCACAATAGATCACAGATGAGCTGGTGATGCAGTGTCAAACTGAGAAACATTTTAGGTTGCATCCTAGAGGCTCCTTTCTAGCAGCAACCGTAATAAGATTTTTTGAGAGGCGGCGGTGCTGGGTTTGAATTTAGGGCCTTGCCCTTGCTGGGGACAGGAGCCACGCCCCCAGCCTTGCTATTAGTTGGTGGTGGCGGTGGCGGTTTGGAGATGAAGTCTGCAAACTTGCCTAGCTAGGCTGGTCTCAAACCTCAGTGCTTCCAATCTGAGTCTCCCGTGTAGCTAGGGTTACAAGGAAGAGAGAATCCTTGAGAGAGGAAGGCAGGGAAGTTTTGAAGAGCATTATTAAAACTAGTTTTATGGAGGCATTTAGAAATGCTGTTGGAAGCCAGACGAAGGGGACAGCCACTGACTGGAGAAATCCTTTTCGATTTCTTTGGAAACTCTGAGTGTGGGCGGGGCGGGCGCTTGCTCCGCCGGGGCCCCTGCGGCGCTGCCCATCACCCGAGCCCTCCGGGTCCCACAGCCCCTTTCCCCGCCCACCCCGCGGTACTGGCCGCGCATGCGCCGAGCGCGGCGGCCAAAGAGTTGTCGGCTGGGAAATGGCGGCCGCGGGCTTGGTGGCCGTGGCTGCCGCCGCTGAGTACACTGGCCCCGCAGCTTCGGGAGGCAACCTTTCCAGTGCTCACTTCGGTTCGAGCTCCGGGACAGGTCCTGGTCCTGGCCCGGCCTCGTGGAGCCGCTCCCTCGAGCGGGCCCTGGAGGAGGCAGTGGTGACCGGGGTGCTGAGCCTGAGCGGCCGGAAACTGAGGGAGTTTCCCCGGGGAGCGGCCAACCACGACCTGACGGACACCACCCGGGCGGGTGAGCGGGGACGCGGGCCGGGCCCGCGGGGCCGGGGCCGGGGTAACGGGGACCCTCCGCGCGCCGGGCGGCTCCCGGGAAAGCAGCCCTGAGGGCGGAGGACCTCGGTCCTCGGATCTCGGATCTCGGTCTTGCCTGGAAAATCTGCTGCCTCGGCTGAGGTGGAGTCCGCCCGGGACGGGGGAGGCCCGTGGGACCCTGCTGAGACTTGGGGGGTGGGCAGCGTGTTGCGCGCTCGTCGATCCTGGTGACGGGGTGTCTCCGCTCGCTGCATTGTCAGGAGGGCTCGACCTCGGCCTTGGCGTTGCTGCGTGCGTGTGCGTGTGCGTGTGCGTGTGTGTGTGTGTGTGTGTGTGCGTGTGTGCGTGTGTGTGCATTGTCAGAAGGGACAGACCTCCACATCAGTGTGGGTGCGCGCGCGCACATTATCAGGAGAGGGAGACCCCCTTCTTCGGCGTTGTTGTGGGTTTGTGTGGGAGTGTGTTTAACGTGAATTCGCACACTGTAACCTTTCTCCGCCTCCATCGGGTTGACTGGCCAAAAAGTACTTGTGAAAGTGAGGGAAGGGATAGTGGGAGAACAAGGGAGGGGGTAACAATGCTCGACAGGAAATGTACTCACTGCCTTACTCATGTAACTGTAACCCCTCTGTACGGCATCTCTACAATAGAATAAAAATTTTAAAAAGTAATTACCCTGCCTTTAGGTTTCCATCACTTTACTATCCCACTCATGTCTTCAAAAAAAAAAAGTTGAAAGGAAGAAAACCACTTAAGAAAGAAACATTGTCTGCCGTATCTGTTGCTTTTCCTTTTAAAAGCATTACTTCGCTTTATGCATATTGTTGAACACAGGAAAAAGAATAAGGAATTAGGTATTATTTGGTTTTCTTTTTTGTAGAGAACAATGTATGCTGACTGAGGTATTCAACATACTGTAATGTGTTTGTCTTGTGTTTAAAATATGGCTTCCTCAGGAGATTAAAAGTTGATTCTATTCATGTTTTACACAAATTCAAAGGGAAAAAATCCCTTATGCATGAAGTAGTTAAATATTTTGCTTTTATGTAATATTTTTGCAACCAAAGAATATATAGTACTTGGTGTCTTGTATTCTTTTCATTTTATTTAAAAATCTTAGGGTTAATACTTTTACTATGCTTATACATCCACTAAAGATGGATAAATATTACATATGATTCACTCATGATGGAAACCAAAAAAAACTTTTGTTATAGTGTAAAATGGAAGAGATGAAATGTCTGCTTATTTATTTAAGTAAATATTTCTAATTGTTACGATAAAGGTGATATGCAGAAGGGTTACAGTTACATAAGTCAGATGAAGAGTATGTTTCTTTTTGGACAATGTTACTCCTTCCCTTGCTCTCTCTTCAAGTTTTTGCCTGCTTATTTCATGAGTATGTTCTGAATATAGTTTGTATTTTTTAAAGTAAACAATACTAAAACTTCTGTGCTAAGGTAAATATGAGCAGCCACTTGGCTTTTCCATGTGTTTTGATAGACAACATCTACAATCACTATTAAATAGTCAAAGCTTCCTGATTCTGTTTAGGAGATAGTAATATGGCAAAGTGATTTCATATTGTGACTCATTTCAAGATTACCACATTAAGCCTGAAGCTAAAGAAAACGTTGATTACAGGACTCTGTCTACCTCATTATTTTACCTGCTTTTAAGTAGTTCTAGGAGCACTCTTGAGTCTTTAGAAATATTTTATGACAAAGAAAACTGAAGAGATGGACTGGGATGGTGGCTTAGTGATAGACTGCTTGCCAAGCATTCATGAAGCCCTAGGTTTGATTCATCAGTACCACTTACACAGAAAAAGCCGGAAGTTGCACTGTGGTTCAAGTGGTAGAGTGCTAGCCTTGAACAACAGCAGCTCAGGGACAGTATTCAGGCCGTGCGTACAAGCCCCAGGACTGGCCAAAAAAAAAAAAAAGCATTGTTTGGGCTGGGAATGTGGCTCAGTGGTAGAGTGCTTGCCTAGCATGTATGAAGCCCTGGGTTTGATTCCTCAGTACCACATAAACAGAAAAAGCTGGAAGTAGTGCTATGGCTCAAGTGGCAGAGTGCTAGCCTTGAGCACAGAAAAGCTCAGGGACAGTACCCAGACCAAGTTCAAGCTCCAGGACTGGCAGAAAAAAAAGAAAAGAAAACTGAAGAGCACTTTTGAAGAATATTCATAATATCAAGGAAATTTTTACTTCCTGTGCTCTTAATTTTTATTTATTTTTATTCATCCTTCACTGCTGTAGTTTCTGTATAAACCAAATTTTTTGTTGGATCGGTCAAAAAGTGTGAAAAAGAAAAGAGATCATAAGGCATTTTATAACTTGCTACACTAAGATTAATTTCTAACATGTAGAAGTATCAGTTATTGAGTATAAGAATATTGTTAGACCATGGTAATTAGAAAACAAAGACTAAGCTGGGAATGTGGCTTAGTGGTAGAGTGCTTGCCTAACATGCATGAAGCCCTGGGTTCAATTCTTCAGTGCCACATAAACAGAAAAAGCCAGAAGTGGCGTTGTGGCTCAAGAGGTAGAGTGCTAGCTTTGAGCAAAAGAAGCTCAGGGAGAGTGCCCAGGCCCTGAGTTCAAGCCCCAAGACTGGCAAAGAAAGAAAAGAAAGAAAGAAAGAAAGGAAGGAAGGAAGAGAGAGAGAAAAAGAAAGAAAGAAAGGAAGAAGGAAAGAAGAAAGAGAATAAAGACAATCTTTAAATTGTTTGAATCTGATAATACTGCAAATATAATTTATCCAGTGTTAACTATTTGCTATTCATTGTTAAATATTTTTAAATGCATTGTATTGTTAGATGCACTCTACAGCCCATGGATTAAATACTATTATATACATATTACATGTGAAAAGATAACTCAGAGAAAGTCATTGCTAGCATTAGTGGTAGAATTCCAGCCCAGGTCCATCTATCTCTTCTCTCCATTAGACCAACTAGTCTCTGCATGTACCAATAGATATTTCTTTTCTTTTCTTTTCCTCTCTTCCTCCCTCCTTCCCTCCCTCCCTCCCTCCCTCCCTCCCACTCTCCCTCCCTCCCACTCTCCCTCCCTCCCTCTCTCTTTTCTCTTTCTCTCGTTCTCTTTCTCTCTCTCTCTCTCTCTTTCTCTTTCTTTCTTTCTTTCCTACTTTCCTTCTTTCCTTCTTTCCTTCCTGGTTCTGGGGCTTGAACTCAGGACCTGGGCTTGTCCCTGAGCTTCTTTGTGCTCAAGGCTAGTGCTCTACCACTTGAACCACAACACCATTTCTGCCTTTTTCTGAGTAGTTTATTGGAGATAAGAGTCTCATGGACTTTCTTGCCCTGGCTGGCTTCGAACCACGATTACCAGATCTCAGACTCCTGAGTAGACTGTTCTGGGTCTCATATACAGTGAAACCAAAGGTTATATATGTTAAGTAATTTACTCAAAGAATTGTAGCTAAAGGGCCAAAGGGGAGGGAGTATGAGGATTATAATCTTACTTGCAACACTAAAACTCATAGTCCTTTTATTGCAAGTACTTGAAGTATTTAAATATTAATAGCAGAAGTGTATTTGTGTTGTGTTTAAAATATAGCTTCCTCAGGGATATTTAAAGCCATGTAAAATTGTATCACTGTTACCTCATGGACTTATTTCATAATGTAGAAAATGTATATGGTTGGCAACTGTCCTTTGAGTTTATATCCTAGGGAGGAGCACATATTACCATACCATTTATATTGGGCACAATTAGAATCTAACAACAGTATTTATTGATGTTTTCTTTTCCGTTTGCTTAAAAGGTAGCACTTTATTTTGTAGTGCAGCAGATTGAACTCAGGCTCTAATGAATACTAGGCCAGCACTCTACCACTGAACCCCACCCAGGCTCTAAAAAGGTAAATCTTAAAGAAAAGGGAAATGTTTATTTAGGAATCATGATTTGATTCAGTGAACAAGTAAAATCTTAGACAAAATTGCAGAAGACTTCTTGGAGCAGAAAAGACATAGTATGATTTGAGTAGGGAGAAGTGAGAAAAAAAAAAACTTGTGGTGGACAATGTGCAAAAAGTTTTAGTATATCAGTTAATTTTGCCCATCCATTATCCAGTCCTCACTTATCTAATAACAATACTTCAATTTTCTAAGCAATCGTCCTTCTCACTTACTTGAATCCAACTTGTTATTCTGTATGCACATGACACAAGTCCTAACAACTGGCCAACCAGTATAATCATTCCTGTAGTCACTGTGCTTGTTCAAAGGTGAGCACATTTTTCTGTCAACACACATGAGTGTGCTTTGACATCATGCTGAAATACTAGAATGTCAGCCTGAAGCTTGCTAATAAATGAAAAGCAGAGCCAAGAGATAAAGAGATCCATTTCTGAGAATAGTGTTTGAACTTTGGGATCAATAGCCTGTCTAAAGTTAGTGCTATTATTGGACTTTCAAATTATGTGAGTAACTTAATCCATTTTTTCTATTAAATTTCAGTACATCTTTTCATACAAAGTAAAGGTCTTGACTAACACAGTAAAACTACTCATTGTGCTGAGGACAATTTGGTCATAATAAGAGCTACCTTACACATACGAAGAAACTAGAATGAGCAAAGATTCATTCACAAGTTGTACATATATATACAAGGGTTGGGAACATTAGGCCCATTGGCTGTATATTTGGTTTGGCCCTGTCAGTGCAACTGCAGGCAGGACTTGAATTCAGTAGATTTAGGAGCTTTTTCCAAAACAGATAAATCTAGGACTACAAATGATGTTATAAGCATCCAACTAGAGCTGGCTAAAAAATATTCCCCACTGCTATACAAAGAGGATTAAGACACTTCCTGTCCTGAAAAACCTCAAAGGATCTAGTTGGGAAATAGGCAAATGTAAAGATGATTTGAATTGTCTGATAGTAAAACTTTTATTAGTCATTGTGCAAGGTAAAATATAAAGAGGATAAAAATAAGAAGCCTAGAGTATTTAGCA